CCCCAAAACCCCAAAACCCCAAAACCCCAAAACCCCAAAACCCCACAGCTCAGTTCAACAGTTGAACCAAAATGAAAAATTATCGATGGTGGAGAAGATATGATTTAGAGACAATCACATTTTCGGTGATGTCTGATGGTCTTCAAGGGGGCTTGCTTAGTCTCAAATTCTCCTTGCTAGGGCTCCTATGGCGTAATAAGATGCAATTACTTCATTTTTGGGTTATAAGGCTCATTCCTAATCCTGTCCTTGCCAACTCTGAAGGATGAGGGTCTCCAAGCTTACCTCTTGTAGATGGGAGGGTGTCCTTGGTACTGGTGAGGCTTCTGCTTCCAGCCAGGAGAGAAGTAAGACTTCTTCAAACCTGGTGTTCCCTTCAGGTATGACTTCGCAGTTAATTTGCTCGAGGTTCTTGGTGGAACAGACCCAGTTATTTTCTCTGGGAAACTGGACAGATTGCTCTTCCCATTATTCTCCTTAGTGAGAAGATATCCCTTTGGGAGATATTTCTCAACAGGCTTTCTCTTTCCCTGACGGGAGAACCCATGGACGTACTTGAGTTTAGAGCTGATGTTCCTCCTGGGAAAGAACTTATTCTCATATTTATAACCTGAGTTATCAGCTAGCTTGATATTGCTCGTTTTGGCGACCATTCTGGAGGATCCTCTGATGGACTCGTTCCACCCTAAACCTGTGTTATGGCCTGTAGTAGCAACAGTCGTGGAAAGCTGTTCCATTAGACCTTTTGGTATTTGTTTAAATGATCTTTTTACTTTTATTTCTGAAGGAAGTTGAGAACAGGGACTTCTCAATTGCTTCAACTTCATCAGAGGTCTTGGTCACTCGGGGCAGGATGGACTTGCTTTGGCTTCCTCTTCCAATGGAGTTCCCAACAAGTTGTAACTGGCGAGGGTTATTTGGGATCTAAAAATGGTATGAATTCGTCTACAGGCTTGAGAGGAGTAGTAAACTTAGACTGAGGCTTACTAGCTTTAATACCATTACTTTTGTTCTTGAAGAAGTACACCTCCTTTTTGATACTATTACTGTAGGCATTGGTGTCTTTCATATTGGTGAGGGTCTCTCCATTCCATAGGTATGTGGTCTTAACCTTCTGGTCAGAATATGGGTCTTCAGAGGCGAACTTATTGTTCCGGTTCCTGAGCAGGGCTCCTCCGTTGGGGATGTTATTACTCCTACCTCTCTTGGGGTCATCTTCTGAGAAAGTTATCTTCTTGAGAGAATCTTTCTCTTTCGGCAATTGGGATTTCATTTCTGTTTTTAGAAGGTTTAAAGGATTTACATTCTCAGTGCCTCTGGCAGGGCTACCTTGAGAAGTTACCTCTGAGATATCAGCTTTTTCTTTGGAGATTTGGGACGAAGCGTCCCCATTTTTGGTGTTGGAGGACTCACTTAAGTCGTCTTCAACCTCTATTGGAACTTTTGGGTCATGAGAAGGTGTTTCAAATAGCTCTTCATCCTCTGGTTGAAGAGACTCTTCCTCTTCTAGCAAGTCGATGTTGTCAAGGAGTTGGGAAGAAGTCTCTTCGCTTTCGTCTGAAGAGCCTAAATAGGTTAACCTTGCACGATTGTTAAGAGATTTGAGGATACTTACTGTCATCTTTGGGTGGGTTATTAAGGAACTTCTCCTTGTTAAAACTGATATTAATCTGCTCTTGTTCTCTGAAATCCCTCGCTTCTAGTAAGATTTTGTTTCTTTGCTCATTGGTGGTCAAGTTTTCCTTGAATTTGGTGAATTCCTCCTGATCTAGCTCTGAGATCTCTTGCATTTCAATTTCTATAATGTTTCTAATGGAGTCGAAATATTCATGATCTAGGAAGTCTTGGGCATCTTCTCTGTGTACTGGATCGATGGCTAGTAGCTTTCGAAGGAGGTCTATCTCGACTGGCCCCATTTCTGGGACTAATTGCTCGAATGGCTTCACCATATCAGCTTTGGGGAGATTAACACCAGTGAAGAGTGGGTTCTTTCTGAACTTCTTCTTCTGATTTTTAGTGAGCACATTCCCTCAAGCTTTGAGGATGTGGTACAGGGTGTCAATGTCTGATTCTCCCGGGAAGAGAGGCATCCCGTTGTAAATTTCAGCAAAAATGCATCCAATGGACCATATGTCTACAGCTTTAGAGTAGGCGGCATCGCCTACTAGGAGTTCTGGGGATCTATACCACCTTGTGGAGACATAATCCGTGAGGATTGCTCCATCGTAGCCTCAGAGCTCTCTTGCAAACCCAAAGTCTCATATTTTTAAGAACCCATTTTTGGAGATGAGTAGGTTTTCAGGTTTAATATCTCGATGAATAAAATTGTTATCATGCATGTGTTGAACTCCTTTCAGCATCTGATACATGAATTTGCGGATGCGGTCCGGAGGAAGCCCCTCAGGCGTGATGTCAAGGTCTTGCAGGAGCGTCCTCTCGCCGTATTCGAAGATGAGATAAATCCTGCCTTTATGCTTGAACACTTCGAAAAGATTGACGATATTATTATGCCTGAGGGAATCGAGGGCATTTATTTCTCTATAAGCTGTTTTCTTAACATGGGGGTCCTCCTCCTCAGAATCTTTAAACTGTTTGATGGCCACGATGAGCTGGGTGGGTTTGTGCAATGCCTTGAAGACATTACCGTAGGTGCCGTCACCCACCTCTCCTAGGACCTTATAGTTCTCCATTGTTCAGTATATTTATAATAGTTTATATTCAAATTTAATTTTTGAGCCTGGGGTTTTGGGGTTTTGGGGTTTTGGGGTTTTGGGGTTTTGGGG